AGGCTGGCAGGCGGCCAGCGACGAAGTTGCTGATGATCTGGAGGTCTGCGGCGAAAGAGCTGGCATCGGAGGAGCTGACGATCTGGAGGCCTGCCGAGCAGAGTAGAGGACCCTTGATCAGGAGGTCTGCCGATCAGAGTAGAGAAGCCTCGGTCAGGAGGTCGGCCGAGCCGAGCCGAGGACCCTCGGTCAGGAGGTCTGCCAAGCAGAGTAGGGGACCCTCGGTCAGGAGGTCGGCCAAGCAGAGTAGGGGACCCTCGGTCAGGAGGTCGGCCACGCCGAGTAGAGGACCCTCGAGATGGTCTAAGAGGCTTGGGACCAAGCAGGAACTCAGGAGGCTTGGGACCAAGCAGGAACTCCAGAGTCTGGTCGAAAGTCTGGTTTAAAGTCAGTCGGCAAATCAGTCGTAGTGTCTCGATGCTTGGAGTGTGGAGCCTTGGAGTCGGACAGAGAGTCTGATGCCTTCGAGTCAAGCTTGGAGTCAGGGTCAAAGTCTGAGTCAAAGTCTGGGTCAAAGTCAAAAGTCTCAGAGTTGGGCTGAGGTTCAGAAGACTTGACAGCAGGCTGGGACTCTGGAGACTGACAGCATGCTGGGGCTCTGAAGGCTTATCAGCGTGCTGAGGCTCTGGAGGCTTGCCTAGAGGCGGTTTTTCCTTGAACCCCTCTCGGAACTCGGGAACTTGGGTGAGAGGCAGTTCACTCTTGAACCCCTCTCAGAACTCGGGAACTACTAGCTGGAGTTCAGTAGTCTTGTCAGCCGGCCAGGGCTATGGAAGCCTCACAGCCAGCTGTGATGCAGGAGACTTGCACCTACAGTCAATCTGGGAAGCGGTACGGGAACCGCTAGTGTCCTGGGATGCGGTACTGAAACCGCTACAGTCCTGGGATGTGGTACAGAAACCACTGGAGTCAGGGATGCAGCTGGTGACTCTTGAGATGCAGCTGGTGACTCCTGAGAGGCAGCCGGTGACTCCTGAGATGCAGCCGGCGACTCCTGAGATGCAGCCGGAGACTCCTGAGATGCAGCCAGTGACTCCTGAGAAGCTGCAGGTGATCCCTGAGAAGCTGCAGGTGAGTCCTGAGAAGCTGCAAATGAGCCCAGAGAAGCTTCAGGTGAGCCCTGAGATCTGCAACGGAGCCCTGAAGAACCCTCGAACCCCTCTCAAAACCTGGGAACAGGAGCTGGAGCAACTGGCCAACCTTCAGCGGAGACTGGAGGTGATGAAGATAATAATGTCTGAGCCAGAAGTGTAGATAATGATGATGACGAGGAAGGTGCCGATGACTGAGCCAGGAGTGTAGATGAAGAGGAAGACGATGTTGATGCTGATGATGCCTCCCACAGTGGAGGCAGGAGCTGAGGCGTCGGGCCGACCCACAGCGGAGGCGGAGGCAGGTGCTGGATAATGGAGGTGATGGCTGAGTAACAGAAGGCAACAGCTGAGAAGATGGCTGATTTTCAGGATATGAATGACCCACGGAGACAGAAGCATTGAAGACCTCTGAGATGATACCCCAGAGAAACCCAAGGAGATATCCGGGAAAAAGAGGCTGAGCAGTTGCAACTGGTGGCTTATTCAGAAAGGCTGAAGTTGGCACTGAAGTGCCTGACTGATCCCCAGCGGAGACTGAAGCTGGAGCATTGGCAGATCCCTCAGAGAGGTCAGGAACAGGAACTAAGGCAGCTGACTGACCTCCAGTGGACACTGAAGCTATAGCGTTAGGCTTACGACATCATCTGTGGCGTGCAGAAGAGGCTGCTGGCTGTGTCGCAGTGCTCTGGAGACCTGGTATGAGCGGTGCAGCAGTGATACTGGACTGAATCCATGAACGGGCGACAGATTTACTTTGGGGACAGGAAGTAGTTTGTACAGCAGCTCCAAGCTGCACAGAGGGAGCAGAGGCTAACATAAGCTAACATAAATTGTAATTCTAGAAAGAACTATATCTAAAGACATGTAAACAAGCACAAGAATCTAAACAAATATTAACTAAACAAAAGTAAACTACTAATCAAAGGAACAGGGAAACCTTTAACGGCAAAGTAAACAAAAACAGTGAACAAAATGGCAGATCTTGACAGTTGTACTCTAAAGCTTGTCTTCTCAAGGTGTTTAGCTCTTGGTCTGTAGTGAAAACAAGGTTATTCTGTTGCAAGAAATAATCACAACCTGGAAGGGAAAGATAGCACATCTTGGGGTTGCCTTATGATACACCGCCTAATCCATTTTTCTGACTGCCTTTGGATATTTTTGTAGATTCGGCAACATTAGAACCACTGCAGCATTTTCTGATCGTCCTTTTGTTTCGAGAACTAAATGTGTTTCTTCTGCCTCTCAATTAACTGAAAGGTCTTCGGAATAGAGGATTGAGGTCAAACCACCAATATTACAACCCTGATCCACATCAGAAGGTAGTCATTAATGTGTAACCACTATGACATTTAAGAGTGTAATGCAGGTTTGCAGAGTGAGTGCATGTTGAAATGACAGCAGTTGTAGCAGCACTGTCTGTAGTGTGCACAAAGCAGACACATTGTATCATCCTCCATTGTTCATCTGATCTAAGAAATGTGTTGATCTGCATAGTCTGATGTATATACTAACAGGCTGAGGATGGCACACAACAATTTTGCTTGTATTTAAAGGCCTTATATCCACCACTTTGAACATTGTTTAATACTTTGTGTATTTTTGACTAAACAATAGGATTTCGACATTAGCTAAACACCCTGTGCACTGGTTTTGAAAAAAGAGAAGAAATCTATGGCAGAGAAACATGAAAGTAGCTGCAAACTTGGTTGTCACTGGGGGTGTAACTGGAAGGAAGGGAACTCGGCTGTTCCTTTTGGAGCTTTAAGACTTTCTGCTTACAAAGTAAGCAATAAGGCTATGAGGTAACTACTCCTCTCACCATTGTAGCATCTTAGCAATGTCAGATGACAAACTAGCACATACACCTACTCTACACACACACGTTCTCTCTATTGCACCCATATAAACAATCAGTAAGTTGAGGGTCATACAAACACAGGTTCTTATTTTATTAAAGCTACCTGTCTACTACCAGATGCAACCCTAATTTAATGCCATTGTAAACAAACATATTGAGTCCCCTGGCGAAGTGGTAGTACTTACAGCATGCTCCTAAACTGTGTCTTTAATGACTACACATTTTGCAGAAATTGACTGAGAATTATTATTGAGGCACTGAAAGACTTTTATAAAATCTACCAATCTAAGTGGAAATATTGAATTAAAGGATGGACATCAGCTTTTAGCATCTCCACAAATTTGAAGAGAAAGAGAAATCCCTGCATCAAAATCTTTGAAAATATTTTAACAGTAAAAGTTAAAATACTTTTCAGAACTATTATGTATGAAATATAATATATGTTCTGAGACACAGATAACATCAATCACAACTGCCCAGAATTGTTGTTCATTCACCGTAGTAAAAGTAATATTTGTAATTTTTCACTAAAGAAACCTGCCTGTGAGATAAAAACTAAGTTTGTACCTTATTATACTTTACCATTTGTACCTTAGTGATCAAGCAGACACAGGTAAGAGTGAACAATCCAGTTTTAAAAAATCTGACAGTTGAAAAAGGAAGTGTAACCTTGCTGGATGGTAGCTGGCAGAAAAAAACAGCTTGAGGCCGTCTTGGGTTGCCTCAGAGGGATGTGGTAAGAGCTGAAGGGGCTCAGGAGGAAAAAGGAAAGCTCCACTGAAACCAAAGGAGGCAACCACAATTTACTTATTTTCTATGTCTAACACAGTTCCATGTAAGTGACTGCAGCTACAGTTAAAGGCACTGCATGTTTGTAATCCAGCAATACTAATTAAAGAATTCTCTAAGACCAGTCAAATGGAAAAAAAAAAATTCTGATTCTTTTTTTAATCTTATTTTAATTGTAATTTGTATTATGCTCTCACGATGGGATGTACGTGCACTACATTTATACTGTATACCACTAGAGTATATAATGCAACAGAAGATTTTATGAACAACATGATAATCATGCAGTTCAGGCCAGTGGCTGAAAATGATGACTTTCCTGTATAATTTATAATGAGCCTCTGATGTATGTTATGCGAAGCAATAGAGAATGTCTGATCACTTCAGTTATTTTGTGTGTGCCAGTTTTAGACGCATCCAGTTTAATATTTATGCGGAACAGAACATTAACTTTCATGATAAAATATTAAATTTTTCTGGAATTAGCTAAATCTTTCTACCCAGTTCTTTTTCACCTAAATGTAAATGTTCACAAGAGAATTACTAATGATGACCTGATTTGTTGCTACAATGAGTATTTCTCATGTTCAGATACTGAGTTCGGTGGAAATCTAAACTAAGTGAATATATCCATTGATCTCGCAACAAAAGGGGTCCTTTTGTTGCCCTTAAATAAATCTGGTCTTTTGTCCAGATGAATGGTGGTATGCATATAAAGAAAAAAAATGCATAAGAGTATAATTCAAAGACATATTCTATAATGGCAGCAGGTCTTTAACATTTGCATGTTTTTCCCAGTGAGATTTTCTCCTTGTATTTCTACAATTATCACTTGACACAGTCCTATTGCATTGCACCTCTTTGAGTCTATGTGGCTTTTATGGTTGTATGGCCTTGTCTGATGGCCTTCTACTTTATCATCACCTGTCGTTCAGCACTGTAAATCAGTTCCTTTTATTGTTCTTGGAAGCTAAAGATAATCTAATTTAGTTTCAGAATAAGTTGGGAAATTACTGGCGTCAGTTTGCATTAAGTGCATTTTCTTTACCGCTTCTTCCATAGTGGCTCGTGCCTATCTCCAGCAGTCTATGGGCAGGAAGCGGGGTACAGCCTGGACACTTCGCCAGTCCAAACAGACACACAAAGGACAAACAACCATGCACACACTCATTCATACCAATTAACCTAACAGTCATGTTTTTCAACTGTGGAAGGAATCCAGAGTATCCACACAATCACAGGGAGAACATGCAAATTTCATGCACAAAGACCCCCAGCCGGGAGTCAAACCCAGAACCTTCTAGCTGCAAAGCAACAGTGCTACCAACTGCGCCACCGTGCAGCCTGCATATTTAAAACATTTGTTTTATTTCATGGTCACTCCCGGTTTGTCTTAGCACACTATTGTACTGTAGCTTGCTGGCTTCAAGTAGGCAGGTATAAATATAAAAAAATCAGACTAATACAAAGAGAGCAAGATGCACACTATGTGTGCTAACTTCCTTCCATAGCTCATTTCCCTTCTTCTTGATCAGTCTACTTACCTACAAAACAGTTTAGTTATTGTAAAAGGAAAGCCATCCTTTAGTTCTAAGGTCTAATGTGTCAGAAAATACTTAAAAAATGTTTTTTACTATAGGCTTATTTTTCTATACAGGCTTGCTTTAGTTTATTTATCTTTATAGCATCCCTTTATCAACAACTCTGTTTAGGTACTGCCAAACATGCTCCTGAAAATGAGAAGAAATATGGAAAAGCACACGTGAGATTATCAGCTAAGGCAACTGCAGGTTTGGATCATGAAAAAAAGTAGCTGTTTGTGTTTTCCCACTGACCTACCGCATGCAGAGCTCCTCCATCTTGATATAAATAATCAAAATTGGAAGGTTAACTGGTGCATAATTATAGTGAAACTGCTGTTCAAGAATTGTGCTGCTCAAAGCGGCAGCATGTTGGTGACGCTCTCTTACTTTTATTCTGATATATGCGTTTCAGGAAGTCTAAGTCCTCTTGTTGTGGATAATTGTTGATTGTTTGGATCATTGTCCTCTGCGGTATTGGATGCTGTGCAGCTGGAAGGATTTTTAATGATACGTTTTTACTATTGGACGTTTGTTATGATGCAAACCCATAGGAAAAGGTGTTTTTAAAGCAGGAGCAGTTGATTAATATCTTTCAAGCTCAAATAATACTTCAAATACAACCCCAAATCCCAATTGAGTTAAAAAGGAGGTCCCATGGAGGCAGAGCAGGAACAAAGAGAAGTGGGAGAAGGAGGCTGTTCAAACTATCTCTTCCAGCGATTATGATGGGCAATGTGAGATTGTTGGGAAATAAGGACCCAGCCAGAGTATCGGGAATGCAGTATTGTGTTCTTTACTAGACATGGCCGCAGGATCATATCCCTGACTCTAGCGTCTCTCTGCCAGGCTTTCTGACCATAAGAGCAGACAGAGATTTAAGGAGGAGCGGCAAACGCAAAGGAGGTGGATTAGCACGGTTGAACAACTGTTCATCTCTTTGGGATGAATAAAGTATTTTTGAATTTGGAATTTGAATTGAATCACAACTTCCCATATGAGTAGATTACATAAAGTATTACAGCCACATGTGTATTTTAGCCTAACTAATTGGCCCAAAAGCCTTTATTTGTAGCTAAACTATATTTGGTAACAAATTAAATATACTGTTTTATCATTACTTCAGTCCTTTTTGCCTTATAGAACAGTATACACAACTCACCAATATTATGAACGCACATTCTCAAAGATACTACATAAACTGCATCCAAACTCGGCTTCTGATGATTCTCACTGCTTTGTTTATATATGTTCTTAACATTACTCACAAACCGGCTGTGCCCCGAGTGGCGAGCTCAAAAACTGCATCACAGTTCTACCTTCAGAACCACACTTTACATTGTCATAAAATGCTAAATAAATATGAATAAACCAGATAATGTGTGCCATGGTTTCATTACAAGTCATAAAACCAAACACTTGTATATTGAATAACAAGCGAACTTAAGAACAATAGAAAACATAACATTGCTTCGCTAAAATTTGATAAACTTCTGCAAACATGTAAACCATGGGTCTCTCACAGGCGGAATGCAGCTGGCCGGAGTCAGCATAAGAGCTAAAATACCTTATGGATGCAAGGTGTAAATATATAGATGGTTTGCCTCAGTTTCAAAGTGAACATACTAGACACAGCAACATAACTGACAGACTTTTAGACAGAAAAGACTAAACAAAAGACTTCAACCCACCACCCAACTCTGTCTTACACAGGTTACCAGGCTCACCATCTTCACTGTGTTATACATGTTAATGGGCCGACAGCTCAAACGCCGATAATTTAAAGAAACAGAAAAATGGTTCATTATACTATGAAGGCATATTAGGGCCATTTAAAGGCGATTACATTTTCGAGTTTAAAGTGGTTAATTTATGAGAATAAACATCCAAATTTACGAGAAAAAATGCATAAGTTTGCTAGATCATAAACCTGAAAATTTAGAAGAAAAAACTAGCAAATTTACGAGCAAAAACACGCAAATTTAAAAACATGCTAATATACAAAACAAAAGTAGCCAATTCATGAGAAAAAAGTGCAGCACAGGGAATCAGCATATTGAGTCTTGGTGGAGGTGTTAAGGAAACAACGTGTCCAGTTCTAGATGAACATATCCAAAACCCTTCAAGATGATAGACACTTTTCTGGGGACTTTTTGGATAAAAGTCTGATACAGTTTGCTTTCTTGACCTGGTTCAGGTGAGTGCATTAAATTATATGCCCATTTATATATGAAACTAAATAGTTAAATTATTTTTTAATCATACTCTTTATTTTTGTTTTTGTAGGAGTTGGATGAGGTAGTGCAGACATGGAATACACAAGATCACACCTGGTCAAGATCTGCATGGTTGTCATCCTGTACTAATGTACAACGTGCCAAGTTTGTATGATGCAGAGGATAAGCTTAAACTAGTGGACCCTGAATAAGTAGATGTGTGTAAGTAAGTTTGCACACCAAAAAGCCATATCCCTTGTGATGAGACTGTTTATGAGCTATCTGTGTTACTCATGCAGTAGAATCAATGGGCCCATCCTTCGGATGCATTTGAAGCAGCAGAAATGTACACTTCACTTAGAATGTGATATTAGCAAATATCTACCTGTATTTAAGTATAAAGTAAGCTGTACTATAAAAACAAACCTCACATATTTCTCAAAAAGTGATTCTAGTTGCTGTTTTGAATTTATTTATTTTTTTATTTGAAAATGATATAAACACTGCTCTTGTGTATGATTATAGTACCTGCTATACTTAAATGTGTTAATCAAGCAAGCAAGTTAGAAATACTTTAGAATTACTTCACAAACTATGCCCTTTTGCTCAACCACCAATGAACTGGAATCCATTTTAGGTGCCCAATTTAACATTAATTTTATACAGTTCAGAATACACTAAAATTAAGATGCAACACTACAGCTTTATTGCAACACTTTTGTTTATTTATCCTGCTAAAACATCTGTAAATGATTTCTTCATCTGTAAGTGATACTGTTTAAGAGGCTATGTAAATTTGTTATTATCACAAACATTCACAAAGAGATGATACAGTAACAGTGCAGAATGGAAACACCATAAAAAGTTACTAAGTAGTGAATGCTTTACTCTTTAAGAGAACCAAGAAGATTATTCATGGAAGCGTTATAATTAGGATCACTGCCTGTAAATATACATATGAGTATGACTTTGTATTGTGTGTATGAATGTCTTGTTTAGTAATACTGGTACCTTTTCATTCTCCAAATGGTTACCTCTGTGACAGCACGGTCTCTCAAAAGATTCAGAGACTGTCAAGTCTCTGCCCTTTGCTGTAAAAAGACAGCACAATGTCAGTCAACAACCTTAAATAATACATGGTTTGAAATATCTGACATATGACAAAGACCCAATATAATTGAAAATTCTAATATATAGAAAAAAACCTAAGCAGGTTCTCTGCTATGTATTATAATTTTTAATTATATTGGGTTACATTAGTTTGTTGCCTTAGCTTGCTAACAATCCTAATATTATGTTATTTTTGTAGCCTATTTTTAAAATGAATAACTAATGTAATTGGCTATGGCGATATTTTGCCTATGCAGCATACATAGCCTATGTATAAAATACATTTAGCGCTACATCAGTTTGATAACTAGCCATATCATTTAGCTAACATTTAGCTGTTGACTGCATTTACATTAACTGCAAGCACAAGCAACATTACTTAAAATTAGTCCCTCGGACATAAAATATAAATTTTTACTGTAAAAACTCACATGATGAAGCCATTATACCATCTCAATCCATTGCTAAAGCACCAATTAATGATGCATTTGCATGTGCTTTATGTAGTTTAAAATGTATTACAATCTTGCATTGTCTTGCAAATGTGCATGTTTAAATCTCGCAAATTTTCTACTTTATTCTCATACAGTTGCTACTTTAAACTCAAAAATTATATCTCCAGTTTTTTTTTTTTGTCTTTGAATGGCCCCAATACACTGTCGTATTATACCAAACAAATAACTTAAAACATTATAAGCAGGGCAAACTCTAGCCATTGTTTGATGCTGCATATAAAGACAGTAACATGGTCGGCCTTCTATCACCTAAAGAACATCTCCAGGATAAAAGGACTAATGTCTCAGCAGGACCTTGAAAAGTTAATTCAAGCATTCATCTTTAGTAGTACTGATTACTGCAACGGTCTCTTCACAGGTCTGCCAAAAGAGTCGATCAGATAGCTGCAGTTGATCAAACATCTTCAGTTCATCCAGAATGCTGCTGCCTCACTAGAACTAAGAAAGTGGAGCACAACACCCCAGTTCTAAAGTCCTTACACTGGCTCCCTGTATCTCAAAGAATAGACTTTAAAAAACTTCTGTCAGTCTATAATTTACTGAATAGCTTAGCACCAAAATGCATTAAACTTGTTGTCAGTGTATCAAGAATCCAGACCTCTCAGGTCTTCTGGCCATTGTTTTTTCAGGGGAGGGCTGTGCCCTCATCCATCAGTCATTAATCGGGAAATTCAAGTTACACTGAACATGATTTCGAAACGAACTCTGGTCCATTTAACGCAGACCAAAAGTGGTAGGTATGAATACACACTTTATCCTATGTAGTGATCTGCCATTCCTATACTTTTACATTTCATTTATATTTTCACGTGTGTCTCTCATTCACTGCTTTTGTGTAGAGCACACAAGATGCTAGATTCCATGCATGATAATATGCAGTTATGGTGACATAAGATTCCGTTGCAATGACTGTCCATGCAT